ATGTAATGCTACGGCTTAAAGCTCAGCGCAAGGCTCCTGCTGGCTCAGTTTGCCCATCCAAGATCGTCATGAAGGGTCTGTTTGTGCTGGACATTGACGACGAAATTTGGCAGGATACTGGCTTGGAAGATTCACTTGACGGCACCACCACGGATCCACCACGGTGGCTTTGCGATGATCTTGTAAGGTCCGGAATCCGTGTGCAATTAGAGCTTGATAGGTGCATTGAAGAGGAAGACTGCATCAAACATGAACGTAGGGCACTCCAAAATTGGTATTCAGAGGAGTGGAACATTCTTTGTTCTGCCTATGGTCATACAGGTAATCTCATTATTTCAATGCATGGCGGCACCTCATTTTGTCTTAGATTCATCGGAGTTACGCTATCAGCTTCAGTTATGAAAGGATGAGCTTCTTCATGTCCTGTCGATATGGAAGAAGTCTTTACAATCCTTACCTGCCGACGCCATTGTACCAGCTTGGGGTCTGACAGATAATGAGATTACAGCTGCTCGGATCGCACAAGTCACCTCTCGTTTGTATGGTGACTATGATGATATAGAGGAAGTTGGACCATCCATTGGGGTAGACGAGATAGATGTGTCAGATGTAGAGAGTCTTGATGCTGACTTGATTGATACGTTGGAGGCTATTGACCTCGCAGATGCTTTCCATGGGGAGGACATCAGTAGTTACTAGACATGCAATTAATTTACTTAGTCTAGTAGTCCCACTCTGGGAGTTCATATGCAACTTACTTATCACCGGTCAATAAACTCTAAGTTTCAAGCCTTCTCCCTGCTGTAGTATAAGGCTTGGTTGTTATAAGTTTGAAGTTGATGTCATAGTACAAGGCTTGGTTAAGTTATAAGTTTCAAGCCTTCTCTCTTCATCTCTGCATAATGTAAGGCTTGGTTTTTGTTATGGTATAAGTCTTGGTTGTTATAAGCTTCAAGCCCTCTCTTTGTTACAGTATAAGGCTTGGTTTTTGCTGCTGACAGGCACATTTAAAATTTAGGTACATATATACTTGGGAGTCCCAGAACCATGGGAGTCCCTCTTCCTGGGGAGTCCCAGGGAATAGAGATTTAGGTACATATATACTTGGGAGTCCCAGAACCAGATGGGAGTCCCTCATCCTGGGGAGTCCCAGAGAATAGTAATTTAGGTACATATATGGCTGGGAGTCCCAATGAATCAGATGGGA